GCGAAAACGAAATATGATTTTGTGATCCATGCATGCGTCCTGACAACATGCAAGAAACCGCTTCCAAAAAGCACGGCTTGCCCTAAAAGACCTCATTTGTAAGCCTGACACCGTCCCAAGACACTGTGAAACGGCTATGTTCAGATTTGTCAAGCGATGTGCTTCATGCACCAACGGCGAGTGCTCCATCGCGATCTGAAGCCGCAGAATCTGCTCGTCGATGAGAAGGGAGTCATAAAAGTGGCCGACTTTGGCTTATCACGATCGATAAATATTCCAGTACGGATCTATACACATGAGGTAAGCCTAGAATTCTCGCAGTACAACTCTCACCCTGCATAGGGCTGGGAGATGGCTGAGAAGAACTTTGTGAAATGTATTCGAAGGAGGAGTGTTTCATTCTGAGAGAGGTTTTTATACGCTTTAGTTCTTTTTTATGTGGATGCAGTTCAACATTTATGACTTAGTAGCGACCGAAAGATTTGAAGTGCCCGACTGTTTGCTTGAATCTTATGTGTGTAGCGTAGTTGTGCACAGGGTAGCCCTACCGCTGAACTTTTTGGAACTTCTTACAACCCCATCCCTTTCCGGGGAGCTTGATACGACCCCTCTGTGAACGTGTGTGTATGGAATCATTAATTACGAACATGTGAACAAGGTAGAAACTAGAGGGGCGTGGGAGTGTTTCCCCTTTTCTCCCGGTGTTCCTGCCCCAACCAAATAAAGTTTCGATAAAGTTTGCACCCCTCTCTCAAGGGTCATGAGGGAATATTTCTTGACAGTATGTTTTTATGAAAAATTAACACGTTCGTACTTTTTCCGTGCACATGTGAGTTTTCAACCTTCAAACGATCATAACTCCAGCCAATTCATTAGTTCGGGGAGTTGAAGCCAGTATGGCAAATCCTAAAAATACGAAACTTTAGAAAAAATTCATTCGAAAATTTGTCCCGTTGGAAGTTTTTGAGACTAAACCAACCTACCTTTTTTTGGAACCGCGAGTTTCAAACCGTCAAATGATCAGAACTTTCATCAAAATTATTAAGCTGAAAAGCTGAACCAGTATGACGAACATCACTGGTTAAGCTTCCTAAAAAAAGCTAAAATATATTCAAAAAGTTACCGCTTCAAGTCATTTCGGCGCGCCTATACGTGCAACAGCAGGTGCGGCAAAAGTATACTGAAGTACGACCTTACTTTTTTTAACTTTTTTACAACAATTTCATCATGACGTCATCGAAGAGTTCCGGGAGCTTTGTGAAAGAAATTTGCAATGGAACAATTATAGGTGGTAACTTTGTGGTACCGTGCACCAGAAATTCTTCTTGGAGCTCATCGTTATGCTTCCGCTATCGACGTCTGGGCAATAGGATGCATTCTAGCGGAGATTGTTACCAAGAAATCGCTCTTCAGAAGTGATTCAGAAATTGATCAGCTCTTTCAGACATTCAGGTAGTATCGATTGGAATAGTTCTTGGCTCAGTAAGAGGAATCTACGTTTCAGGTTGCTTGGAACACCAACCGAGAAGCAATGGCACGGTGTAATGAAAATGCCCGAATTTAAGGCCCGATTTCCAAAATGGAAGAAAAATCTGTTAGACGAAAAGCTGCGACCATATTGCGATAATCAAATGATCAACTTGATTCAGGTGCCCTCTTTCATGATGATTTTGGATGATACGTGAATATTTCGATAAATCGTGGGAGTTTCACAGTAATATTAGTCCACTTATGACTGCGCCAACATGTTGGTATACAGGGGGGGGGGCAAAAAAAGAAAAGTCCACTTTGACTCAATTCAAAACAGTAATTAGTGAACTTTGCGTAAGCTAACGACATAGAAGACAGATGCTCTAGTAAACGTTCCATATTGTTCCGCTCTCGGCATTGATACATGATAAGTTCCCTGCCCCTCTCAGCCCCTGACCCCGCTGCAGTCATCATGTGGACCGCGGAGGGTTGGCGGACCTACTAAGTTGGTATCCGGAGTCACATCTCAGCTAACGGCTTGCAGTGTTGGCCGGCCACTGCCCTTCCCTCCGCATAGTACCACCGTTCCCATCTCCCTCCCACCTCCATGACCGTTGAAATAGGTCCGAATTACATATTTCTTCAGCCATTATATCTCTGTGCCTTATATTTCTATCCTATAAGTTTAATTCGTAACATGTAAATTCTATCATTTATCGTCCATATATTTTATTTTATTTTATCAATTTTTCTATTTCTTAATATTGTGCTGTCCCGGAGCCTCATCAGCACCTAAATATTGTATAACACAGAGAGGCACCAAAATTTTATTTCAAAAGAATTCCAAAAGTTCAGAAAGTTCGAAAATTCCAAAAACTCGAAAGTTTCAAAAGAGCAAAAAGCTATTTGAAAAAGAATCCTTTTGAAATCCTCCGCGTGATTGAAAAAATTTTTAAAAACCATGCGGAGGAGGATTTCAAAAGGATTCTTTTTCAAATAGCTTTTTGCTCTTTTGAAACTTTCGAGTTTTTGGAATTTTCGAACTTTCTGAACTTTTGGAATTCTTTTGAAATAAAATTTTGGTGCCTCTCTGTGTTATACAATATTTAGGTGCTTATAGCTATATGCTCATACGTGTACTCAATAATTACATATGTTATTCCTGTGCTCCAAAATTTGTAAAACAACTAACGACCGAAAACCAAATAAGCTAAACGAGACTGCATATTGAAAAAGCACATTCTATTCTATCAAAAAATTACATAGGGGCTTTCTACACCGACGACATCAGAAGATTTTCCCACGGAAACATGGTTCGCGGTACGAGCTCAACGGGTCGTCGAGAAACCATAGACGATTACGACGTCTCTGAAACGCTGGTCAAAAGCCATTTTGCATAGTCAGAGCTAGTGTCCCTAAGAAGTCATTCACCAGTTATCCGATTGAAGAACTTATGTAGCAGCTTCAGAATGGAGCGATTATGGTAGGCCTCCTTGAGCTCGACGGTGATGACAGATGACGTCATATTCTGGAGACGGTGAAAAGCAGCGAAGGTGGGCCTGATTCTGCTTATGGGGGACATCTAAGGAATAATTCGCCATATAACTCCCAATAACAGCGGCATCCTTTGCGATGAAAAGTTTCGATGATATGCGCCATGGGCAAAGTGACTCTTTTTTGCCCCCCCCCCGTAGGCTAACTAAGGATGTTCAAGCACTAGCGCAGAATTTGACTCTAATTGGCGAGAGAGCTGCAATCGTCATATCTGCGTTGGTCAAAATCGAATCACACTCAACCTTGAAGCAACATCTCCAGCAGAGTCATTTCGAAGAATCTATTCAGTGGGTGGGATAGAGTAGCCCACGAGTAGCACAGATGTGCCGTTGTCGCGGCTCGAAAGTGCGCGACAATGGCGCTAGGGTCTTACAAAGTCAGCATTTGGCGACTAATCTTAGCATTTGGACGAGTTACGTCGCGCACACCCCATGACACGCAACGTGGATTACGGCGTAGCGGCTAATTCAAATACGCGCGGGTTAGTTGAGCCGTGGAGCAGGCAAGTTCGTACAACTCGTCTGGCCCCGCCCCTTCCTTTTTCAAAGGGTTTTGTTTGGGCTTCATCGACGGTTTTCTTTGCTTCTTTTTTCATTTTTAGTCAATTCGGCATCCACAGTTCATTATCAACCGCTGTGATCCCACATATTCGTATCTGGGGTGTTGCTTCAAGTCTCTAACATTTCAAAAATATTTCTGCCATTGTATTTACTACTACGAACAGTATTTGCTATTATATTAACTGTTTGGGGACTATACATTACTAAATATCTTTGCAAGATTTCTGCAGTGGGAGGATTTCATCGTGGGCACAGAAAGTCTTCAAATTGCTCTGTGATTATATAAATAATTTGTGTGCTCGATCTTTGCTCTACATTACCCATGTCGGTAGCTATTATGGAAACAGGAAATATCGTAGGCCTGAGCAAGATCGAAGCCTAGTAGATCGATACGCTCGCTCAGCGTTTTTTTTTTGCAAATATTATATTACTATCAGATTTCGGTTCAGGCAATGTTGAGATATGATCCATCTCTGAGGATTTCAATGAAGGGAGCACTTAATCATCCATACTTCAATGATGTGAGTTGTATTTGATCATTCATTACTTGTCAAGTGTTCAAAGAACGTCGATAGCGTATCGGGCCGATCCTACCGCTGGCTTCATGCAGTGAAATTCTTTCAAATGAGCTATAAAAGTACGGGGAGGACTTTATTCCGAACTCCGATCCAATACTAAGCACTCAAGTGGATTCAAAGGCACATGCCATCCCTCGACCAGCGCAGAGCTATCCACGAAAGGTGAAGGTTCAACACTCCGCTTACATTCCTGAGTCTTGAACCCCTGGGGGCATCTCTCCATTTTCAAGGAAGAACG